AAGCGTTGCCCGCATGGCTGCCAGTGGTGTGGGTGGGTGAGGTTGTCCACTCCACAGGCCAGGCGTTTTCTGGCACACCTAAAGCCTGCAATTTCTGGATGAGTTCACATGTAAGAGGGACTACTGGTCTGGAAGCTGTAGCAAGCATTGCCTGCCTGGCTACTAGTCTGGGTGGTGGGTGCATTGCCTGTCCTGCTTGTCTGGGTACTTTCTGGGACAACAGTAGGCTATGGCTACTGGCCAAGTCCAGGCAGAAGTGGAAATGCTGCGTAAGCAGGTGGCACAAGGAATATTATGTGGAGATTATTTCAGAACCCTACAACAGTCCCTAATCAAGAGAGGCAAGAGCGAAAGGACACAGGAACCCTAAGAGGGCTATGGGACTGCAAGTGTCCTTTCTTGGTAGAAGGCCCAACAATTAGCTCAGTTGTCTGTGTTAAATGTCTGGTAGTTTGTACCCTGTTACGTACCCTCTAGGCTCCATCAATCATATTCTAATCCTACACAACCATTTTTTAACTCTGTATTTCTCCCACCTCCTCAAGTCGAGCCATCATCCTATTTTTATCAGGACTATTGCTTATGGCCTCTGAATGTTCCCTGGTTTTTTATATATTCTGGATATATATATCCTTTCTTAATTACGTGTATTAAAATATTATCTAATATTCTGTGCGTTGTCAATTTTTGCTATGTGTATTTAGAGGTTCTGTTATTAAATACATACACACTTAAACTGATTACATCTTTCTGGAGATTGTACTATTTTTGTAATTAAAAATTAGTCCCTTTGCTCATCAGTAACATATTTTGCTCCGAGGTCAATTTTCTCTGATCAGTTTTTTTGGGTTAGGGTTTGCTCGATATATCATTTCTCATCCTTGTACTTTACACTTTTTGTATGCATTAACATTTGCTTCTTTTAAATGGTAATTAGTTCAGTTTTGACCTTTTAAAATTTTGTCTGAAATGTTTGCATTTTATTATATATGACAGATTTATGTATATATTTGGGATTAAATCTACCATCACACTATTGACTTTCCTGGAGGAAATAAATATTCTAAATGTTATTAGAATTTGATACATCAAATGCACATGGTTTAATTTTTAGGATTACAAGAACACATTATAAAAGACTTTATAACTTTACACTGTTGGTGGGACTGTAAACTAGTTCAACCATTATGGAAAACAGTGTGGCGATTCCTCAAGGATCTAGAACTAGAAATACCATTTGACCCAGCCATCCTATTACTGGGGATATACCCAAAGGATTATAAGTCATGCTGCTGTAAAGACACATGCACACGTATGCTTATTGCAGCACTATTCACAATAGCAAAGACTTGGAATCAACCCAAATGTCCATCAATGACAGACAGGATTAAGAAAATGTGGCACATATACACCATGGAATACTATGCAGCCATAAAAAAGGATGAGTTTGTGTCCTTTGTAGGGACATGGATGCAGCTGGAAACCATCATTCTCAGCAAACTATCGCAAGAACAGAAAACAAAATGCCGCATGTTCTCACTCATAGGTGGGAATTGAACAATGAGATCACTTGAACACAGGAAGGGGATCATCACACACCAGGTCCTATTGTGCGGGGAGTGGAGAAGGGATAGCATTAGGAGATATACCTAATGTAAATGACGAGTTAGTGGGTGCAGCACACCAACATGGCACATGTATACATATGTAACAAACCTGCACGTTGTGCACATGTACCCTAGAACTTAAAGTATAATTTAAAAAAAAAAGACTTTATAACTACTAAAATTAATTGGAGAGAGAAAAAAAGCAATAAAGGGGTATATAGAACCTTCGATCAAAAAAAAAAAAACATTTTTTTTCATTTGTTTGTTGTATTTGGTTTCTCTATTTTACAATATTGGTTTTCTTAAATATTCAGTAAAAAAATACACTTTCATTTGGTAATTTCTCTTATCATGTAAAAAAATGTAGGTCCTGCTTACCACAGCCTATATCTGGTAAAAAAAAGAGAAGAGGGGGCATAAAGCCAGGTTATACATAAAAAAAGGTTGTGACATAGTTGAGAGAAAGCCCCCTCCTTCTCCAGACTAAGGTGACCTCTGTGTCTTCATCATCAGAAAAAAAAATCTATAGTATGAGCTCAGGACTTTCATTTGGGAAAAAAAACCATAAGGTTCTCTGCTTTTTTCTTTTCTTTTATACCCTGTGAATGGAAGCTTAGACCTTAATTCTCGTCTCTAAAAAAATTTTTACTCAGAGCTGGCACTCTCATTCTATATAAAAAAATAGACCAGAACCATAAAACAGTTTTTTTTGTTTAAAAAAAGCTCATAAAACAGTTCTCATATTTTGCTTTGGGAAAAAAATACCTTGTTATGTGATGCCTGTGTGAGGGAAAGAAAAAAAACTGACCCAGCTTTTCCAATATAATTTTAAAAAAAAAAAAACAACTGCTCTGGGCTCTGACCTACTTCTCTGCTGCTTATAGTTTTGACATTAAACTTGAGCTCTTTTTTATTAAAAAAAATTTGTATAGTAGTTAGTTTTGTCTTATGCTTAAAAAAAAGTAGGGTGATTCTATTTCTGTTTCTCTGTCAAAAAAAAAATTTATTGTTCTATTTTTTTGTTTGTTTGTTTGTAAAAAAAACGGAGTCTCGCTGTGTTGCCGGGGCTGGAGTGAAAAAAAATGATCTCAGCTCACTGCAAGCTCTGCCTCGAGGGTTCACGCCATTCTCCTGCCTCAGCCTCCCGAGTAGCTGAAAAAAAAGGCGCCTGCCACCACACCCGGCTAATTTTGTTAAAAAAATAGTAGAGATAGTGTTTCACTGTGTTAGCCAGAAAAAAAATGATCTCCTGACCTCGTGATCCGCCCGTCTTGGAAAAAAAAAGTGCTGGGATTACAGGTGTGAGCCACTGCGCAAAAAAAATTGTTCTTTATATCACCATAAGTCCTCAATCAAAAAAAAGCTAATAATAACACTAATAAGATCTCACTTCACAAAAAAAGGAAGAGGAGGAAAGATTGACGTCTGTTCTTAGAAAAAAATTTCAACTTCTCTTATAAAGTCATGAAACTCTGTACCTTTGTCTTCCGTAGTGCCACATTTTCCTAGTTTGCCAAAAAAATTCTTTAATCTCTTTTTTGTCATCCTCTGGGAAAAAAAAATTCTGATAATACTGGTTCTATACTCTAGCAAAAAAAAAAAGATCTTTTCTGCCTCTGCCCACAAGCCTGGGTGAGCTCATTCCTCTGGGTGAAGAGCTATTGGCTTTACCTCTAAAAAAATGTTCTCATTCCCCAGCTCCTGCGAGTTATCCAAAAAAAATCAACCTCATTTGAAGGACCCACACAATTCAAAAAAAAAATGCTCAAAGTCTTATTCTTTGTTCCTCCAGTTCAAAAAAAGTCCATGTCTATTGCCTTAGTGAATGGCTCCATAAAAAAATCAGTTTCCTAACCCAGAATCTGAGTGTCATCCAAAAAAATTTTTTCTCCCGATTTACACATCCATTATATCAAAAAAAACTGCCATTTCTCACTCCTAAACATCTTTCAAATCCATTCATTCTCTCCAACTTCACTAGCATCACAGGTAGTTAAAAAAATCATCATCCCTTCCCTAGAGAACTGCTTCTTTCAAAAAAATAATTCCCTGATTTCAGTGTTATGTATTCCTATAAAAAAATTACATGAAAACCAGAACACTATTTCTGAAATAAAAAAAATTTTAATTCTGAGAATTAAAATAATTTCAGATTAAAAAAAACAAAGTTTTTGGGATTAGGCAAAACTGGATGTAAAAAAAATCTATACCAGCTATAGGAATATCTCTGAGTTTCATTTCCATCTTCCGGAAAATGGGAATAACAACATTATCTAGCTCCGTCCTTCTTCCATTTGTGTGTCTTTTGCTTATTCATCAGGTCTCCAATTAGATGTCTCCTTATCTAAGAAGTCTAAAAAAACTACCCAACGTTGAGTTCTTTGATCCTCCTATGAAAAAAATTAGGATACCCTATTTTACCTTGCAGATCACTGAAAAAAATTGGTTGTAATGATTTATTTACTCATTAGCATTAAAAAAATATCTTGCAGGTAACTGATTATAATGGGTGACTTATTTACTTGTCTGTATTGTCAAGTAGTCTACAAAATCCTAAAAAAAAGATGATTTTTCACCATTTTATCTGAAGCACATAAAAAAAGGTAGCTTTTCTCTAAGAAAATGCTGAATCAATAAAAAAAGCATGCCACTTTGTTTTCCTCCTCCATGTAAAGAAAAAAATATTTTATTTTACAAATGAATCAGGTTCAGGGGAAAAAAAAGGTCATGCAATAAATGATTGCCATTGGGTTTGTCTTAGTCAAAGACCAGCTTGTTCTATGATACCAGCGGCTAAAAAAACTTAGAAAGATGTTGTATTAATTATTGCTGTACAAAAAAATTGTTCCCATTTTATGGCTATTCATGTTGGACCAAAAAAAGTGAAATATCATGAAAATAAGATATTTAAGTTGTGTATATTGAGGCACAATTACTTTTTCACCAACCTAATACAAAAAAAATAGTAGTTCTCTGGGAAGACAAGAGTACTATGAAAAAAAGTGAAATTGTGAAAGGGGGCATTTATAAATTACAAAAAAATTAGTTTGTGTATCTAACAATCTTTGAGCAGAGAAAAAAACATAGAAAATCCTCCACCACTGATACCCACAGTAAAAAAAACTATTGCTTTCATAGGAAAGACTGTATCAGGCAGCCACTGCTTTTTCAACACATTTCAAAATAGACTTCCGCAAAAAAATTGGGAACACAAAATCAGTTAATGCTTCCGATAAAAAAAAGGAACTAGTTGTGGGTCTCAGAAATTCTCAACAAAAAAAATCAGGTTCCAAACATCTACTAGAAGAGGAATGCAAAAAAAAACTGAGTGAGGTGTGGAGTGGGGGAAGCTGACAAAAAAAGGACCAAAGAACTTTGAGGAACTTGCCCAGAGCAAAAAAAGCATCAGACCTACCGCAGACATTGCAGGCCCGAAAAAAAATAGGTCCAGGGACTTGCCTTCCTAGGCTTTCGGAAAAAAAGTTTGTTTCACTTCCCGGGTTTAGGATTTCTGGAAAAAAAATGAGAAAAAAAAATGAGGCCACTTCCCATGACAAAAAAAGGTAGTCAGGGTTGGGGTGGGTTGCGTGCACCTAAAAAAATGCATTTGGTGAAGGGATGAAGAACAGTCTTTGAAAAAAATGATGGGAGTTAGAAAAGCCTCCTCAAGGCTGAAAAAAAAGCTGGATGAGATTTTTTTTAAGTTACTTTTGTCAAAAAAATTCTCAGGATACCAAAACACTGTAAGCAATATTAAAAAAATTTGATTGATTACCTCATCTACTGTTAATGTCCAAAAAAAATGGTCTTTATTCTTTGTCTCTGACTGGTTATTAAAAAAATTCGAGATTTAGGAAAAGATCTACCATGTGCAGAAAAAAATGTACATGGAGTAGGGCACAGGCAGGGTCTTGCAAAAAAAGATGGGCTGTGGCCTGCCCTAGTTCTCCAGTGGAAAAAAACACTATTCATGGGCACCCAGGCAGTAAACTGAGAAAAAAAATGATAAAATCTAATGAAAAATGCCTTGTAGACAAAAAAAATTCTTAGGATAAGAAAGAAGCTTGTAAGTAGTAAAAAAAATTGTAATCTTTCCCCAGATGAAGTAAATGAAAAAAAAAAAAGGGAAATAATGTACCCAGAATCACACAAGTTAAAAAAAGGGCTGAGAGCAAAAAACCCAGAATTCTTGGTTCCTAGTCCAGGCCTTTCTGCTTCCTGTGCCACCACTTCTGAAAAAAAATCATCCTCCTAAAAACTATCCAGATTCAGGCCAAAAAAAGAGTTTCTAGTCTATTTGATAACTTTGCCAAGAAAAAAAAGGTGACCATGTGTACCACTCTCCTCATGCTCTCAAAAAAAGATTGTGGCGGGGGGGGGGGGGGGGCGGGGGGGAAAAAAACATAAAAATGAGGAAACAAGAGACTGGTGGTGCAAAAAAACCACAAAGAGACTGGGGCCAATCAAAGAGGGAAAAAAAAACTAGGTTCCCTCCCCTCTTTATGGGCGGGGTGCGGGGTGCGGGGAAGACATTGTAGTTGTCAAGAGCCTGATGCATATAGGTGATGTGACAAAACCAAGGTTTAGATTCTTCTCCAACCCAAAAGAAATGTCCCTCCCTCATATGCATCCAATAAAAAAAGCAGTTAAAAAAATATATATTTTGATTGTAGAGAAGTGGAGCCTTGTAAATACGTGTTTCTTTCCTTGGGGACAAAAAAAACCCTAGATAATTAACACATGGATTTCTGTGGTAAAAAAATAGGAGGCAGTTATATAAATTTATGTCAAGAATAAAAAAAAAAGACAGAGCACCAGCCTTGAATGACCAGAACAAAAAAAATGTTACCAAAGAATTATGGAAAAGCATAAGAGAAAAAAATAAGCCTTAATGTGATATAATGACTCGGCCCTCAAAAAAATTACAGTCTTACCAGAGAGGCACTAAACACAGAAAAAAAACCACCAGGTGTGTTTGATAAGACAGACCCAACAAAAAAAAAATTCTCAGTCTGAAGGTGTGCCTGAGATATTGAAAAAAAGTTTCCCTTACATTAAAGAAGAAGAGGCCGGGCGCGGCGGCTCACACCTGTAATCCCAGCACTTTGGGAGGTTAAAAAAAGTGGATCACTAGGTCAGAAGATCAAGACCATCCAAAAAAAAGTGAAACCCCATCTCTACTAAAAATATGGTGGCAGGTGCCTGTAGTCCCAGCTACTTGGGAGGCTGAGGCAGGAGAATGGTGTGAACCCAGGAGGTGGAGCTTTCAGTGAGCCGAGATCATGCCATTGAGCTCCAGCCTAGGCGATAGAGCGAGACTGTCTCAAAAAAAAAAAAAAAAAAAAAAAAAAAAAAAAAAAAAAGTCCACATTTAGATGGACTAAGAAGAATTATCTTTAATTTCTTTCAAAATAACTTTGGTTTATGTGGTGTAAAAGGAAAGTAACAAATTTCTTAAACCCTTAGCTACCACCAGAGGTTGAGTAATACACATGCAGGAAATGGGGAATGTGGGGAAATGGTGTCTGAAAGAAGACAGAGACTACGCAAAACTGTTAGTGTGTGAGAAGATTAGATGCTGTGGTGGGTTTGTTGCTGTTCTTGTAAGGTGGTCATAGCAGGGGGGGTGGAATATTCCTGCAAATGGGCTCAATACATGCAAATGTCTCAATATATGAATGAAATTTCTTTAGAACAACTTAAATAAGTAAAATATACTTGGGGCTTTAAAAAATAAAAAGGATAAATTCAAGATAAGGCTGTGATAATAGATATGGGTTGAAGTAGCAGAGTTTTTGTTATCAATAACATTAAATTTTTATCTTTATACTAAAGGTGGTGAAATGCAAAGAAAGGACTTTAAAGGGGAGGGTGACACAGTTGTTTTTTCATTTGATCATTTGGCTACAAAGTCAGGGGTGGGTTTAACATCCACGGTCACAAATGCACACTGGGGAACATTCAGAGGCTGTAAGTCCTGATAAAAATAGGATGATGGCTTGGCTTGAGGAGATGGGAGAAATACAGAGTTAAAAAATGGTTGTATAGTATTAGAATATGATTGATGAAGCATAGAGGGTATGTAACAGAAGGTATCAATGACAAACTACCAGACATTTAACACAGACAACTGAGCTAATTGTTGGGCCTTCTATCAAGAAAGGACATTTGCAGTCCCATAGACCTCTTAGGGTTCCTGTTACCTTTAGCTCTTGCCTCTCCTGATTAGGGACTGCTTGTAGTGTTCTGAAGTAATCTCCACATAATATTCCTTGTGCCACCTTCCTTTATCTGAAAGATAAATTTTGAGGAAGACTGAATATCTTCTACTTTGGTCTTCTAATGTTTGAAATAAAAATTACCTCTTCTTTTTGCTGGAACGATTTGCTGGATGATCATATTATGGACTTTATTATAATGACTTTAAAATTAACCCCAGAGGGGGACAATTCTCTCAAGTTCAGCAAAATTTGAGGGTATGGATTCAGTTTAAGACCAAAAATAAGGCTTGCTATTTTATGTTATTCCTTTGTTCCAAATCTAAATTTTGTATTCTGTTCAGGGGATGCTAAAGTCTACATATAGGTTTGATTATCGCTACTCAATAAAATGTAAACATAACCCACCTCACAAACTCCATTATGATTAGAACAGAGATTACAAGAGGAAGAGGAGGGCCTCCTGGCCTGCCTGTACATAGTCTTATATCTAAATTAGTCCATGAGAGCAAAAACAAGCACAACCCTGACTCTTCTGACCAATCTTTGAGACAAACTGCAAAAGAGAGGAAGAGTCAACCTCGGACAACACGGTACCATGAATAACATGCTCTCTCCAATTATATAGACCCCTCCTCTCTGCTTTTTCACTTCCCTAAGATAGGACCAGTTGAAGTAGGGTCATGCCAGGAATAAAGCCCCTCTTTAGCATGTCCTTGAATGGCAGAAAGTGTTAGAGGAAATTTATGTTTTATACTTCGAGCCAGAAATGAGTAAGTGAGAGTAGGAAGACCAATAATAATAGCCAATATGTAGTTAGTATTTATTAAGTGACATGCACTGGTTTAAATGTTTACATGTGCTATTTCATCATTAAATTTCTCTATGAGATATGCTCTATTATTCACAGGATAGAGTTACAGAAACACAAGATTAATTAACTTGAGTAAAGAGTGGCAGGGCCAAAATTTAAAACCAGGTAATTTAATTCCAGAACTCCTTTGCTTAAGAGGATCCACTATACTAGTCTGGTGAATAGAACTCTTTATTTGCACATTTATTCATTCCTCAGTTGTTGGACATTTGGGTTATTTTTACCTTTTGACTATTATAGGTAACACTGCCAGGAAAATTCATTTTACAAATTTTTGTGTGGACAGATGTTTTTATTTCTCTTTGTATATATCTGGGAATGGAAGGGATAGGTCATAAGGCAGGTTCGTGGTTGACATTTTGCAAAGAATCAGTTAGGGAGGAATCCTCCTTATGTTTTAGGAATAGTTTCAGTAGGATTAGCTCTTTGATATTTATTAGCTCTTCAGTGACATAAACACTTCTTTGTACATCCGTTAGAATTTGATTGTGACTCTATAGGGCTCAATAATCTAATCTTCCACCTTAATAAACTGGAAAAAGAAGAGCAAAGTAACTGGAAACAACTTGTAGAAAGGAAATAATAAAGACTAGAGTGAAAATAATAGAGAGTAGAAACACACTACAGTAAATCAACAAAACCCAAAGTTCATTCTTGCAAAGATCAACAAATTTGAAAAACCTTTAGCTATATTGAATGACAAAAATTACAAGAAGAAATCACTAAAATCAGGAATGAAAGAGGCAACATAATTACCAAATTTACAGAATTAAAGAAATTATAAGGGACACTATAAAATTATATCCAAATAAATTAGATAACATATGAAATGGTCAAATTTTTATGAAAATACTACTAAAACTGACTGAAGAAGAAATACAAAAACAAAAAGAAATACAAAATCTGAATAGATCTATAATAAGAGATTAAATGAGGAATTTTTAAAACTTTTATAAAGGAAAGCCCAGAATCCTGTGATTTCACTGGTAAATTTTACTAAACATTTTAAAAAGAATTAATACCCTTCCATCAAAAACTACAAGAGAAGTGAACAATTCCAAATTTATTACATAAGCTAGTATTATTTTGACACCAAAATCAAGAAAAGACAACATAAGTGAACAAAACTACCTATGAATGTCTCTTATGAATATAGACACAAATACTCAAATAAATATTAGCAAGTTGTTGTGGGAAGTCTGGGACCCCAAACAGAGGGACCGGCTGAAGCCATGGCGGAAGAACATAAATTGTGAAGATTTCATGGACATGTATTAGTTCCCCAAATTAATACTTTTGTAATTTCTTATGCCCATCTTTACTGCAGTCTCTGAACATAAATTGTGAA